GTCACGATCGCGACGCGTACAGCGTCGGTATCATCTGCGCGCTCGCGACAGAAAAGGCAGCAGTCGAGGCGATGTTGGACGACGAGCACCCGAAACTCCAGCCTGCGCCTGGCGACGACAATGACTACATGTTCGGAACGATTGGCACACACAAAGTAGTCATCGCCTGCCTACCAGCAGGTATGACTGGGACTGTGAACGCAGCTGTAGTAGCAAAAGACATGATGCGCAGCTTTCCAATCCGTATCGGCTTAATGGTCGGAATAGCAGGCGGAGTGTGGAGCGAAGAGCGTGACGTCCGACTTGGCGATGTTATCGTGAGCCAGCCAAACGGTCAGCACGGTGGAGTAGTACAGTGGGACTTTGGCAAGATGGAGACCGGAGGGGACTTTCGGCGGACGGGCACCCTGAACAAGCCACCGCGTTTACTGCTAAATGCAGTGCAAGGTCTTCAGTCGCGACACAAACGGAAAGGCAACGAGCTGCACGCCCACCTCGAGAAGATGCTACTCGAGAATCCGGCGATGGAAGAGTCGGGTTATGTACATCAGGGTCGCGACAACGACGAGCTGTTCGAAGCGAGCTACGACCACCAGCCCGGTCGGACATGTGGGCAATGCGACCGCCTGCGTGTAGTACAGCGAGAGCAGCGCAAGAGTGAACGGCCAAAAATACACTACGGGAATATTGCATCAGGCGATAAGGTCATCAAAGACGGAGCTACACGCGATCGCATCGCGCGCGAGGAAGACGTCATTGCATTTGAGATGGAGGCGGCAGGTCTTATGGACTCCTACCCATGCGTAGTAATTCGCGGAATCTGCGACTACTCTGATACCCACAAGAATAAGCGCTGGCAGGAGTACGCTGCAGCATCGGCGGCCGCCTATGCGAAAGAGCTATTGCTATACATGCCAGCTAGCGACGTGGCGCAGATCCGAACGGCGAACGAGGCGACAGGTACGGCTACATGAATGTGTATGTAAATAGCTTGTGAGTACTAATTTCGCTATTAGCGTCAGCTTCGCGACGGATTATTCACGTTCCGTTTCCCAAAAATTATGATTTCGTCGGCCGGCA